TCACTCATTTTTTCACTGAGCTTTAACTCAGTGCAAAGTTCTATTTTAGTATTTGGCAAATGATATCTTTTCCTCTACTCAAAACAATTTAATAGGAAAAAAAACAAAAACAAAAACATGTGCACCATGGAATATCAACGCTGAAAGTAACAAATGACACTGAGAGGGTATGAATAGATTGCTATGCAAGTTTCAGGGAGAAAATATTTTTTCTGCTGTGTAAAATCAATAAACATTTAGTGGATTGTGTATCATGACCTAAACTTTAAATAATGGGTAAAATGTGTAACTGCATAGATTAGAGAAAAGCGATTCAAATGGAAGAATGACACACAAGAATATTCAGGACCGATATTCATCTCTACTGCCATTAAATGTTACTTAGTATGACCCTGGTTAGTAAAAACTATACTGTCTTTCCACTATGATTCCTCCTTGTAGATTTCATGGATTTTTAAGGGAATGGAATTCTGGATCCAGAGCTACCTTGTCCAATAGAACTTCTCTGACAGTGGAAATGTTTGCATCTATTCAGTACTGTATTCACAGACTTCATGTGACTATTGAGCACTTGAAATGTAGCTAGTCTAACTGAGGAATTGACTTTTTAATTTTAATTAATTAAACAGCCACATGTGGCTTATGGCTATAATATTGCACAACATAGATCTAGTCACCTTTTTAGGAAAAGTAAATTCCAGATGAATTTGATCCACAAAAGCATCTCCTTTGGGCAAAATACACCATGCCACAATATTTCCTGTGAGATCCTATTACATCCCGTCTTTGCTGAAGCCAATATAGTCATTGCCTGCGTAGTATTGTTAATTAGGATATGCACAAAGGAAGCTAATAAATTATATCTGCAAGAATCTCTGAAGACTTCTCCTAGGAAGAGACTTTTTAATTTACTCTTAAAGGAAAGGAAGTTCACCCTGGGGTTGAGGGCTGAGAGTAAGTGAGTAGAGAAGAAAGAGGTCTCAGGCAGGGATGAGAAAAAGAATAGTGTGACCAGGGAAATTTTGATAATTCAGTATAACTGGCAAACAAGGTGTCCTTTATAAGGAGCAAGAGAGGAGAAAGAGCAATTTGAAAGAAAATAGAATAGTATATGTTTTTAAATACTTTCCAAGTATTGGTTTGACTTAATTTTATTTAGTTTCCCACCCAAAATGGTCATTCTGTCACATATATGTAGGATTTTCTTTTCCTTTTTTTCTTTTTTACAAACATCATTTATGTTTTAATCATTAAAGAAAACAACTAAAATTACAACTTTGTGCCCCAAATTTATTACTTGGGGAAGATTGAGATTTCGGAAATTTATTGCCATGATGTCACCAATGGTTTATAATTTATAAGACTTTGGATTAGACATTAGCACAGTTATTATTTCCTCTAATGCCTTACCTCACCACAGTCTAATAACATTCAGGAAATCCAAAAGACAAAGGGGAATGAGTGGTCTTGAAAGCTAAAAATAGTTGCTGAAAACTGATGCAATCATGTAATAAAATATAGCCCAATAACTTATATGATATGCTCATAGTATCTGCTAAAGCAATTAGAATCCATGCAGCTAGATTTTTGTTCATGGATTTCTAAAAATGAAAATCACTTCAGCCCAAATAAGACATAGAAGCTATGAAGTTTAATTGTATACCTTGGTCTTAGGATTTCTGGTCTTATTACTTACATGTGTGATCTATATAATACTTTTAAAACAGAAAATCATTGAATAGCAATCAGATTTCAAAAGCCCTTCTAAGCCCAGCCAGACGGTTGTCTATGTGATATGTTACATATGACAACATAGGGTGTTATTCTTCAGTTATATTAACACACAGAGCCTTTTTCTTTCTTTCTTTCTTTCTTTCTCTCTTTCTTTCTTTCTTTCTTTCTTTCTTTCTTTCTTTCTTCCTTCCTTCCTTCCATCCTTCCTTCCTTCCTTCCTTCCTTCCTTTCTTTCTTTCTTTCTTTTACAACGGGTTAATATCTTCACACATCTAATAGGTCTTGCTTACAAGACAAAAAACAGCATTATAGTTGTTTCTTATGAATCACATCAGACATATTAAAAGGATAGTGTATTTTAGTTGAGAAATGTTATACATATTATAATTCATGATATTTTTTTCAGGTAAGCTTTTGAACTAGACTGTGATCTAGTTGTACATAAGAAAGATTTTCAGTGCATCTTGGGAGTCCAAGGCATTTACATATATTTTCAATAGCTATCCTAATTTCTACCAGTGAAAATATAGGCAGGCATTCCCAATATGGCGCAAGAGATATCAATCAATATAGGAAAGAATGTTTTTATTGTGGCAACCATAGACAATGGAAAAATGAAGTTAATGAATATTTTTTGAGTGCATACTAATTGGAATTTCAGAAGGCTGTAGGAGTTGCCTGAGGCCCAGAATTAATAAAAGAAAGATCCGGGATAATACTTGGTTCTGTCTGATACCAATACCTTTGCACCCCATTATTATATGTAATGGGTATGAATTTTACACTATAAACAGTTGTGTGTAAGAAAAGTCTTTTACCTTCCTATTCAGAAATTGAATTATACTTATTCCAGGCTCCCTTGTCTGTAGGCTGGAAAGGAAATTCAATGTTTTACTCTTTAGTAAAGCTGTGTAAGAATATAGAATTACATGATGGACACCCAGAAATTTGGGTAAGAGTTACATTTAAAGGAAAAAGGGGAAAGGAGAAGGCCAGCTTTGAGCACATTATCTGACACCGTGGCAAAAGGTAATTTTTCATCTTCTCTCGAACCATAGCTGACATGCTTAAACTCTCTTCTATGAAGTTTAATCCTTTACCTTGTAAATCAAATATTAAACCTGAGGTTGGAAGTACTTCTTATCTACCTTGGCATTGTCTTATTAACTTGGACACATGATCCCAGACATTCAGTGACTCCTACTTTGATGGATGGCTCCTCTATCTTTGTCAGTGTCATAAAATGTCTTATGAGGACAAGAAATTTATAATAATATTTATAACAGTATTTTCAGCCACACCATCACTTCTCCTTACTGCTTCCTTATTGTGAGAAATAATCATACAAATTTTAATAACATTTTCTGTGATTTGTGGCAACAGAGTGTGTATCTTTTACTGAGAAAATTCCGGTTTATTACCTAATTTTTATCAAAATAATCTAATACTCAAGAGATTCTTCTGTACTTTTTCTTGGCATATGTCAAGTTTCATATTATAATTTTCATATGTGCCTATGATAAATTTGTATCTGTAAATAGGTTTATAATTTTCTAACTCACATAACTGTCTTAAAGTAATATTTCTTTCAAATTATACTAGGAAAGTTTATAATAATGATAACGATATGCGCTAAATTTGAATAATCTTTGGTTATAGTGGTTATATGAACAGTATTAAAGTAAAAATAATTTGTGTTTTTTTTTTTATTTTGCTGCCTCAAAAATGCTTTGTTTCAGTTCTTCAATCCTTAAACGTGAGGTTACATATCCTATTGCCATTGACTTTTAGAGACCTAGGGCTCAGAGACATTAATAGGTGACAAAAAAATAACAGAGCTAATCATTGAGCCAGGTGGGCCTGACTTCTGACTCACTGCCCTTCCCACTGCACCTTAGCACAATTCTGAGAAACCCCATAAATTTTTGTGCTCTGTATATTTCAGAACTCAGCTAAACAACCGTCATAACTAGGGAATAGCTGATTACCAAATACAGAATCACTGCAAAAAAGGCTAAAATCAGTAATTCTCACAGTAATAAAGATGGAAAACACTGTTGGTTGGCTTCCTTTTTCTCTCTTCTTTTCTAACTCAAATGAATTTTAAGAGTCATGATTTGAAACCCTGCCATTAGCTCCATCAGAAATATTAAATGTTAAATAAAGTGATCTTTATTGGCCATAAAATGAATACCCTTTATTATTCTAAGGAGATAGAAAATACTTTATGTGAATTGTAGAGAAATTGCCAAAAAAGCTATTTTATTTCAGCCTGTGGACAAGTTAATGTGCTACTGGCAAAAGCATGTATATTCTGACCTAATTAATTCCCAGAGCATTTGGTTCTAAAAAGAGGGTTTAGAAATGACCCCTCTCCCCGGTTTACTCCATGGTCACATAGACATTTCAGTAGCTAGACACCTGTAGCTGAGATGGGGTCTCAGTCATGAGTTACTTACTTCCTTATTAAGGCTTTTGTTGCAGTGCTTTCTGGATATTTTCTACCGTGGTACTTGTGATTATTTCTGTATGTAGTCAAATGTTCCAGTTTCTGGGTACCTGAGCCTCAGCTGAGCAGATTTTCCTGTGATAAACATATGTCACCTCTGTGCTATTGTTCTGATGACACTACCTTCAGGCAACACCTTCCATAACATACAGTGTGATATTTCACACTTACAGAAATTGAGAAAGATAGTTTCAGGTATCTTCCACCTTCTAGTGTGAGTAATTTAAAAATGCTCGAGAAACATAAACAGAAAAGTTGAGGGAACGATGGAGTGGGTCAAGTGACTGCTATGGCTAATTAGCATTTCCTTCTGGAAAGTACATACAGAAAAGTAAGATAATCTGTCTTATTCTAGATATCTGATGTAGTGAATTGCTATATTTTCCTCTATGTGTAGGAAGAAAAAGAATCATTTAAATTTAAAATTCTTTCCTTCAAGAGCCATTAGGGTCATGGTTGGCATATCTATGTGATAAAATGATCACTCTATTCTTATCACGACTGGTCTCATTCTTTAGAATTCATTTGTACATTATTACCTGAAACATGCTAATTGTACTAATAATCACGGAGCAAGTAAATGCTTGGCTACTAATAGTTGGTTTTAATCCACTTAAATTATTTTGCCATCTCTAAAGTTTACACAAATAATACTGCTTGATGGTAGACACAAATGCTCAACCTCTCTCTGGTTAACAGGTATGTTAACATAGTTCTTGTTTTAAATAAATTCTCCCCTTCTTTCTCTTTTCTACAGGATAATATTTTTAAGCTGGAGGACTCCCATTTTGAAAATGGCCGTGGGAAGAGTCCATATGACCCTAAACTGCTGACGGCATCTCTTTTAATAGGTGCGTGGTCAACAGTTAAACAATGAATTTTCTATAGATAATAACCAGATTGTTCCTTTTTATATACCAACATTTTCCATTACTAATCACAAACTATTTTAGGAGGATGCCAGTTGAGATATTTTAAAATATTTTGAAAATGAAGAAAAAAATACTAAATGCTGCTTTGATTATTGTACTGTTTGGTCTGTGATTCTTTTTAATCAAAATGGTATAATACGTGTCCTTAAAATTGCCTGCGCTGTCACCATACATTTCCACTAAGACTTTAAAATTCTTATCTGTGAGTAAGTCGTTTTGGTTTTCTTTTTATAAAAGAGGAGTTTCAAGGGAGAATTTTGACAAGTCAGAAGGAAAGAATGAGATTGTCTATCTTTGTTCATTGTAATTACAAGATTTGTCACACTCTCAACATTTGGATAACTTAATCAGTATAGTTTTAATGGTCATACAATTCTCAGAGAACCTATTGTGTGACCTCGAAATGAAGGAAGGACTTCACTATTCATCTTTTTTTTGTTTTTTGCTTTACGCCATTTTTTTAATCTAACAAAACATTTAATGTGTTTCCTCTACACTTGCCTCTAACCATCATTTTCTGGTTGTCTTCTTTCTTCTTTTCCTTCAGCAATGCAGATGGGTGGGGAATCCTTAGTCATACTTCAAAGGATGGAGATAGAAAGATTGAAATAAGCTAAAGAGGGAGAAAACTTTAGTCTGTATTGAAAAATAAAGAATTCTTTCCACATATTTTTAATCACCTTTAGACTACCACTAAATAAACACATGAAAAAAAGGTGATACATCATTCAACAATTTTTCTTTTTTTTTTTTTTTCTTTTTTTGGACTTTTAGGCGTGCTAACAAACAAAAACACAAAAGATTCTGAGTCATTAGTCTGTTCCTGAATACATTTTTCTATATGATCATGTAGAAATTATATAACTTTCGTTTTCTTTCCTTTTTTTTGTTTCCTTTTCTAGAAAACATAGAAGGTAATTATTTCATAACAAAAATGGTTGTGAAACTTATCAAGCATAACATGTCTAATTGAATCTTGCATAATAAATCTAGATTTTTAAAAAGTAAATTTAGGTTATTATTTGATATGTCATAAGGTTCAATTTTGCCAGTCTTTTGTTTCTAAAAAATAACTTTTTTTTCTACTTAGCAAAATAAACTCTAGTCATATTGACTACAGCATTAACTATGAAGATCTATTTTTACCACTATTCTCTAGTGTTTACTAGTATGTTCCGCTGATCTCTGATCTCTTTTCTATTAAGAATGAGAACAGTACAACATGAATTATCTCCTCTATTGCTTTTCAAATGTAGACAATTGCAGTCCATTTGATACATTCATGAAGCATTTTAACAAAAGTTTAAGACCTGGAGGAATGCAGCAAACATAGCACACTTATAATTTTCCTCTTCACAGCTGGCCTAGTGATTACATGTAGATAACTTCCTTAAGTGCACACACAGAAATTTGAAAGTTGTCTTAAATAAAGGGGAGGAGTTCTACCTTGCACAAACTTGCAGCCTGTACTTATTTAAATTGCATACTGAAGAAAAAAAGATAGATATTGTTCAAAAAGCAGTATGTTAACTCGTGCCTAAAGCAGCTTTAATTTGTGGTATGTTTCTCAGTGGGGATTTGCTTGATTATTTATTTTAATATTCCATCGAGAAAGGATGATGACAAGTAAGTATTACATAGTTCATATGGTATGCAACCACACAAGTCCACAAAGAATATGAAACTCCATAGTTTTGGTTTTATATTAGAATTTCTTTGAAAAAGCTGTTTAGGGTTGTGAAAAGGAAAAGAGAATGATGGAAGTTTCATGAATCAAGGAAAGGATGTGTGGCTAAAAAAGAAGCAGCTTTCAAATGGAAATCCAGACCTCACCTCTCTGATATGGTCAAATAGTTGAGTAACAATTAGAGGTATTTAGTGCTTATTGACAAGGAAAACTATTCAAGCCCACATAAATTAATTTCTAAATCAGCTGAATAGCAAGGTACAGAAAAATGAAAATCCCTCAAAATCTCTGGAACATCATTTTCATTCAAGAGCTGTGACTTTGTTACTTGCTTTCCTTATAACTGTACTATAAATTCTTCTTCTCATAGTACACTTAATTCCCCTTGGTGGGTTTTTTTGGCATTTTCTCTTGTGATTTTTTAAAAAGAGTGCTTGATGATTTAATGGAGTTTTTTCAACATGAATATTTTCCCAAACTTTTACATATAACAGTAAGAACTGTCTCTGAAATATACAGGTAGTACATTGTGTGTTAGAGATTGCCTGTTGGGAAAGCCTGTCTGCCCGAAAGACTGAATATATTCTCCTTATTTCAGCACATAAGAGAAATTTTCAAGGTTGTCCCGGGCTGTTTCTGTTCCCAATACTAGGAAATAAAGTTTCATGTTTGGCTCAAACCACCTATAAACTGGTTAGCTGAATCCTGACAGCAGATACTTTTTATGTCACTAGTCCCCCTAGTAAGCAGTTTCAACCAGTAATAAGCTTTAAAGCCAGATGACAGCTTAAAAAATTAGTTCATGAAATTTATCAAGGTTTAGTATAACTTCTTTTCAAAATGGTTTTTAAGCCGATGACCACAAAACATATGGATTCTTTCCTTAGCCATGCATAGCTACTAAATTAAGTCTCCAAATCCTGTAACAGGTCCTAAGTTTTTAAATGACCTTAGTAAAGTTAATTTTTCAAATCTCCTTTAATAAAAATCATTTTGTCAATATGAAATAGGTCCAGTATTTATTTTTAAGTATTTTTTTTATTTCATCTACCTGTAAATATTTTAATGACTTTATTTATTTTTTATTAAGAATAGCAGTTTCTCCCTTGCTCAGAAGAAATGCCAGGTGTGGCTGCAAGAATAAAATCTTGTATTTTCCTCACTAATTAAGTGTCATCTCACGTTTTCATGACATAAAAGCAATAGTCAATTTGAAAAGCAGTTTTATTTCCTTATTGAAGTCTTCTCCAGGCATTATAGTCCTAATAATTTAGAAATAATCCATCACTAAATCATATTATTGAAATCTATGGCAAGGGTCTAGGACTTTTAGTTATGATCTGTTTCCCCAAGCTAGAATTCTGCCTTGCCCCAGGAAAGAATGTAATTTGACATTAGAATATGCTCTCACTTGGTATTAGATCAAAGAGGTACTCCCTAAGTTAATTAACTGTAATTGAAAATATTATTTGAACCTCTCTGAGCCTCAGTTTCTTTATATGTAAAATGGCATGGACATTCTAATTCCGCTAGTTGTGAGAACTAAATAAGACAATTTAATAGCATATCACATTTGAGTGCTTACATATTTCTGGAATATATGTAGAAGTGGAAACCAAGAAAAAAAAAGTAATAGTGGTTGCTGTAAAGGAGTCTGAGAGTCTGAGAGACAGATTTGATACCTTATAAATTTTATATTTTTCATTTTGTGCCATATGCACATATTAACTACTTAAAAATGTTAGTTTTAAATGTACGATATAAATAACAAAGCCAGCACATTATACTTATTCATACAGAGAAGATGTTCAGTAAATGTAAAAATGTAAAATTATTCCCACACCTTTTTACTCTGAAGAAATGGATTACATCCATGCACTGTGTGTGTGTGTGTGTATCTGTGTCTGTGTGTGTGTATCCATGTAATAGAGAGAGACACACAAATTTATTTTTCCTCTGTTTCTAATTACTGTGCTGTTCTGTGAGTGGAATTTACTTAAGGTGTTAACAACATAATGGCTTGTCTTTAGGTTTGTTTGATTTTTGCTCAACATCCATGTCCCACATTACACCTGTGTTAGTAATGCTGCAGTTTCATCAGGAAATGTTTTTTTTTTTTTACCTTCTACTTCTCACCACACCCTTCTTAGGAATTGTAATCCAATACATTAACTGATCTAAGCCACATTTTTACTTCATATTGAGCTGTGAACATAAAGTCCAGAGTACATATGAACTTTTGTTTTCAACACATGCTTCTCAGGTAACTCTGCCATGGTGGAAATGCAGTTCACTCAACTTTTTGTTCATCTCAGTAAAGAATGCTTTCCTTAGAGACAGTTTAGAAGGCTTACAGTTAAGGAAGAATGGCAGTATACTCAACTAGCAACTTTCATAGTTGACAGTTTTTAGGTTCTTAGTTACATCTGTCAGCACTAGTTTTTCTTAGTCTGATGTGTTCTTTTTGAGACATCAGACTTGCTATAGGGTGTTTTTTGTAGAGACTAAAAACTATTAGAGTATCTACAACCACTTTGATATATATAACAACTAATTGAGTACACTGTTGTACCAGCAATTTAATAAAATTGGGTAAATTTCATGTTTTATTTCACTAGTAGCTTAGTACATACGGAAAAAATATGTATCCTAACCATAATGCTATTTGAATCATTGTAGGATAACATTTACCTATCTACTACTTCAGATTTTCAAGAAGACTTATATTAAGGGTCAGAAAACTGGAAAATTAGCACTATGCCCAAGAATCAACATATAATTTGATAACTTCATTAATGACCTAGAAACTGCAAAAGAAGGTGGCGAGGTGACTTTTTTTTTTTTGTTAAACATGCTTGTTCAAAAATAAGCCAACTGAGGTATAGTAAATTTCTTATACTCAGTTTTCATTAGATCATTTTATATAGCCACAAAAGGTACTAGGTCTTTAATCCATAGTGGAAATACACAAGTTTATTAAATAGTATATATTCTTTTTAAAAAAATTTTTTTTTCAACGTTTTTATTTATTTTTGGGACAGAGAGAGACAGAGCATGAACGGGGGAGGGGCAGAGAGAGAGGGAGACACAGAATCGGAAACAGGCTCCAGGCTCTGAGCCATCAGCCCAGAGCCTGACGCGGGGCTCGAACTCACGGACCGCGAGATCGTGACCTGGCTAAAGCCGGACGCTTAACCGACTGTGCCACCCAGGCGCCCCTAAATAGTATATATTCTAAGTTGATTATTATTTATTTGCTTATAAAAATGCAAGAGTAGAGTATTTTAACACCTGTACATTTGGGCCAGCTTAATAAATGTGTGATACAATTTCTGTGGAGCATTCATCCCTGCTAAGAGTTGACATCTAAGCAGAAATTCTGATTTAAGGCCTGGTATAAAAAACAGTTACTGATATTGTGGTGCCTGGGTGGTTCAGTTGGTTAAGCATCTGACTCTTGATACTGGCTCAGGTTGTTATCCCAGGGTCATAGGATCGAGCCCTGCATTGGGGTCTGTGGAATTTTCTCTCTCTCTCTTTCCCTCTGTCCCTCTTCCCCACTCATGCACTCTCTCTCTCTCTCTCTCTCTAAAAATAAAAAAAAAATATATGTTATTAAAATATATATTACTTTAAAAAGTTACTGATATTGAACATTGGTAATATGAGAATGTGTCCTTCACAGCCTCTTAATCATCTGGTGCCCTACAGCTCACAGATGACTCTTGCTAAAAATAATATTCAGGTGGGAGGGAATTTCCTATGACTGGAGGCAACTGGTGCCTAAACTGCAAACTTCCTTTGGTTTCTGAGTCCGTCCTTTAATTCTGTTTTTAGTACTAAATTGATCAGTAGCTCTCCTGCTGAAGAATTCTCTGCTTTCTCTAAATGACCTACTTATCTATTGTCAAAAAAGGAAACAAAATCAGTCTTTCTGCCTTTGCCTTCATTTATATTGATTTTTGCTTTCCTTATGTGGGAGTGGATAAAAAGTGTAAGTTATAAAACAAGTACATATATTAGTAAGAGAAGCAAATACCTCTATATATCTAAGTAACACTTTCTTTTGGTGGTGTTTTTGTTATTTCAGCTCTCCTGTGAATAGAGTTTACACATAATAGCAACCATAATTATGGATTTTACTCACACTGAACAAGCAAAAAAAAAAAAAAAAAGATTGAGGGAAAGGGATTAAATCTACTAATTTCCAATTATGTAATAAGTCAAAGAGACATAAAAATATATTTAAATTTTTTTTAATGTTAATATATTTTTTTTTGAGAGAGAGAGAGAGAGAGAGAGAGAGAATGTGAATGGGGGAAGGGAAGAGAGAGAGGGAGACACAGAATCCGAAGCAGGCTCCACGCTCTGAGCTGTCAGCACAGAGCCCGATGCGGGGCTGGAACTAATGAGCCATGAGATCATGACCTGAACCACCCAGGCATACCCCCCAGAAAAGAATAATTAATGACATTCTTTACTCTTCCATTTCTGATTAAACCTCCTATTGGACATGTTCTGTCTGACTACACTCTGATATGAAATTGTTCAGTTTTCACTTTTGGTGATTCTCTTTTCACCTTTCCTGATTTTTATCACCTAACACATGTTTGACAGAGCAGTGAGGTTCAATGAATAATTTAATACTTTTGATTTTTCAAGGTAAAGAGGACACAAGGCATCCTATTAGAGCTGTTGCAACATGAAAATATTTGAAATTAACATGAACATTTTAGGGTGCTATTACAACACATTTTTAATTAGTACCACCTTCTTCACACATCTCAAGAAAAATAATTTACCTGAAGTTTAAAAATCTGTTACATCTATTAATTATTTGTAAAAAGATAAAAAAGTAACCTTAATAAAAGTATTATAGTGATTAAATATAAGTAAAAGTTAAGGAGACAATAAACATTTACCTTTGAAACTCATAGGTAGCTCATTATTGAATGTTTGCTTGAGAAGGTTTGTTTGGGGGCACATGGGTGACTCAGTCAGTTAAGCATCCAACTCTTGATTTTGGCTCAGGTCATGATCGCACAGTTTATGGGATCGAGCCCCATTTGGGGCTCTGTGCTGACAGCATGGAGCCTGCTTGGGCATCTCCTTCTCCCTCTCTCCCTCCCCTGCGCTCTCTCTCTTTCTCTCTCTCTCTCTCTCAAAATAAATAAGTAAAGATAAATAAACAAAAAAGAAAAGAAAAGCTTTATTTTTTACCTTGTGGGCAGATAAAATATTATTGCAACTATTATGGGGAGAAGAGGTCAGATTTGAACTTGATATTTAATTAAGTGAAGAGAATACAAGATGCCTTTAAATCCCAAAGATACCATATTATGACAGCTTAGAATGTTATATGAGTACCATTCATTAATATATTGTCACATTATCATTTTTTATTTGTCTTGATTCACAACAACCCAAAGTAAATGATCACTATCGTAAAAGTCCATAAGATAAGGTGTCATTTAGTAATATTTCAAGTTATAACCTGGATTATGCACTGATTCTCCCTGCATCACTCTTCTCCACTGCCTTGGACGTCGTCCAAAGGTTGGTGCATCGAGACACTTCAGAGAACCACAAGCTGTACCAAAGGAACTGATTTGAGTTAGACCACTGAGAATGCCTGTTTTCATTATAAAACCTTCATGTGGAAGTGAGAATTGAGGGTGTGAACAAAGTATATCACATGAGAAATCTGATTCATATATTCAATATACATATGAAATTCGTTATAAATATAAAAATCCTTGGAAATAATAGTGTTATACAAATGTTTAAGTTATACTTTATCTATGCCTATTTTATTTTCTGATTAATTTTCAAGGCACTGAATTCAGAAACATTAACTTATCCAAATGATCAGCAAGATAGTATTAAGTTTACTGGTAATTTTATTTAAAGATGATTTCATATTTTTTGTTTCATTTTGCTGATAATTCATTATAAGTAAGTAGGCAATACTGTGTTTCCTAGATGAAGTAATATGAGGTATTTTCTGTTTAAAGGAAAGAAAATAAAATTTTTATACAACCTTCAGTTTATTAAAAGCTGGTATAGTTTAGTGTAAGAGGCTTGAGATTAAACAAGCCTGAGTTTGAACTTTTACCCTTACTATCCTAGTCATCAGCTGAGCAACCTTGGGTTTCTTGAACTGTTAAGTAGGGATACCATTTACATCACACGGTGGTTGACAGAACTAAATGAGATAATTGGAAAGTGTCCAGCTAGTGCATGACTCCCCAGCAAACACAGAATGGTGTTCAGTAAATATTAACTTCTTTTTCTCCTCCCTCTTTTCTTTTCCTTTTTTTTAACCTTGTGATTATGATTCCTCATTTATTAAACTCTGACCTAGAGTTGATATATTTTCAGTAAAAATGAGTAAAAAACATAGTAGAATCTTGAACTATGGAGATTATGACCTATATTTATCAAAATTTCCTCCTCTTCAGATACATTTCTTTAATATATGAAACTACGTGATGGACTTGTTTTTAGACTATGTGATAACTTTTACTAAGAACCCTTCTCCCACCTGATACATTCAAAAATAAAAGCAAGGAAAAAAATTATTGGTGAGGAAAATACTAGTTCTTTCTAAAGTATTGTAAAATCTTACTAACTCAGGTACCACTGAAAAGGAAATACATTGACAGTTTAATTTCCATTAAAATAAAAACCATAGAAGATTTTACAGTGATATCCTACCCTAATAAATAAGGATATTAGAACAGCAGTAGCTTTATACCTCTGTATTTTGCACTTTGTCTCGCATCATAGTAGAAAAGAATAAATGTTAGGTCTTAGTAATGTCTACTGAACCATATTTTACTCAGTTATTTGAAGTCAGGACTTACGGAGTAGATGCTTAATCAGTGAGTGATCTCATAATAAAATACTCTTCAACAAAGACATAGAATAAAAATGAGTAATTGCATAATGATGCAGATAGCATATCTGTGTTCTTTCTAGCAGGGTCATAACTTGAGACTTTCCTTCTTTTGATTCATTTTGTTTTTCTTTCCTTAATTGAATTAAAGTATATGTATGTGGTTTTATTCTGTCACAACGTAGATGGAGAATTATACTCCGGGACCGCAGCTGATTTTATGGGGCGAGATTTTGCGATCTTCAGAACTCTCGGGCACCATCACCCAATCAGAACAGAGCAGCATGATTCCAGGTGGCTCAACGGTAGGTGGTGTGTATAAGAGCACAAGCATGTTACGTAACATGTCTAACTGGAGTAGTCAGTGGAGAACTTTCCCTGTACGGTACCAACGGTGTGACTTGAGATTTAGTACGTGCTTAAACTCGCGCTAGTGACTTCATGACTGTGGGTGTGAGAAAATAGGGAAAACAGAGCCAGATGAGATTAAAAATTGAGGAAAATATTTGCTTCATGCCAAAACTGAAGTTTCTCAGCAGTTAACTGTGGAAAGAAATAGATCTGGGTTGGAGCTGCGGAAGGGAGGCAATGGAAAAAGATAAGAGGGCTTACCAGTCTTACATGGACAACACGACAGATGTCAACGTGTAGTAAATTTTTTCTCCACGTCTCTCATAGTGCCCTGAGAGCATCATACGTTACTGAACATTTAAAAAAAAATGTAATGCTAATAACATTATGTTGAAAATATTGTCTTTTTTTTTTAATATGAAATTTCTTGTCAAATTGGTTTCCATACAACACCCAGTGCTTATCCCAACAGGTGCCTCGTCAATGCCCATCACCCACTTTCCCCTCCCTCCCTCCCTCCAGCTCCATCAACCGTCAGTTTATT